ATATTGGACTTTCTAATCTAGAGTTTGCCTAAAACCAGAATTTTTACCAAAGCTAACAACTTCCACTCAGCTCGTTAAACTTTCTTCAGCTTTCCATATTTCTATGTAGTGTTTTCAAGGACACCAAGTAAACTGCGTGTGTTTGATGTGTGGATGTATATGAATATGACATTTACATTTGAAACAAGGTTTGTTCGCTGAACATTTCAAGGTAGAATTCATCAGCTACTCATCAATTCCAAAAGCAACAAAAAGTGATTTAATGTACAGCTAAAACTTAAAAACTAAATCCCGAGCATTTCCTTGACTTGTTCACGCTTTCATGTCCGCTGTGTGAGTGAATTTGAAAATCCCTCTGACCTTCAAGTCATTCAGACTCCTACTTTATAATTTGCACATTTCTCTCTTGACTTTTTTTCGTTCTCTCGTCATGTTTTATACAAACTAGCTGTAAGCCGGAATAATACATCTATATAGAGCATATAAGTAGTTACTTGGTGAATATGTTATAAAATAAATCAACTTTAGCCGGTTATTTCCCGCTACTTCTAGTAATTTTTCATCCGTTTGGAATTAAGGTTCTCCAAAGATACATTTCCATATCTCTGCAGACCTACACAGAGAACGGTGTTCTGTATGTCAGCAACATTATAAACCAACTCATCTTTAAATACAGTGTTGTGATGCACAGTAAGGTGATGAAGAACGGACATCTTAATAGCAGCTTAAGCTGGTTGAAGTAACTAAGTACAGTTACTCAAGTATTGTACTTGTGTAAGTGTTTGACATATTTGTACTTCACTTCTTCATTGCTTCTGGAAAGATATTTTACAAAAGACCCTTAAACTCTTTAATAGCTGACAAAAAAAGGAATCTGCTGCAGGTCAAGAATCACGAGCGGTCAAAAGAGTGCAACTTATTCTCATTATCAGCTCATCGTGGAAGCATTACCTCAGTTGAACACACACACACACACACACACACACACACGCAGAAGGTGTTAATGTATTCAGGCTGTTAATGATGTTAAATGGAGCCTGACGACGGGCTGACATCAGTTCCCTGCAGCCTTCACGGTGGAGGGGAAGAAAGTGTTATAGTTACCTTTCAGCAGAATTTGTGATGAACACGGGATGTTGAAACTGAGCGATAGGCTTTAATGGCTAACTTAGTTTTGTATTAGTGGGGACTGATGATTATTTATTATTATTGATTGACTGTTTTGCTAAGGCCAATGGTTCATTCACCTGCTCCTCGGACGGTCCCATTTGCTGAGTTGGGAAGTTATTCTGTTAGGATCTGTTTATTTTATGTTTTATTTTGGAATTATCTGTCGGCTTCCTGTTTTTCATTCAAGGATGTTCACCCCCTGTCTGTCATGTGTGTATTTGTTTCCTGTCTGTGTTTTCCCTCCTGAGTGATTACCTGATTCTGTTCACCTGTGTCTTTGTGGTTTCCCTCCCCAGCTGGGTCTTGTCGTCTTGATTGGCCATGTGTGTATTTAAGTTCTGGTTTTCTGTTGGGGTTTTGTGGGTTCCTTTTTGTGCTTAGAGGGAGATAGAGTTAGTGGCCGTTTCTCAATCGCGAGGATGCTTGCTTGGTAGCACATGTCTTCCGAGTCACTTCCTTCAGAAGCTAGGCAAGAATCCTTCCTGGCAATCGGAAAACGAAGAGTGGAACAGGCGAGCAAGTGTGCAGGTGTGCGTCATATGAGAGGCCCCGCCTTACTTTTTCCGCCACAGATTTGGGGAAATTGGTCCGTGCGCAAAGCATTGTGGGGATTTGAAGGACGCGAAGTCTACCCATGTGAGGGTGAAAAGAGGTGCACTTTTTGAACATAGAGTACCTTTATAACTTGATAATGTGCAGTGTGGCTCTGACAGTAGGATGTATATCATACGTTAAAAAGACACGACACCCTTAATTAATAAAGTAACTCTTAGTTGTTGCTCTAAATAAACTGACTTCCTGTCAGCTCTCACTGATCCTGAGAAAACTATTCTCGTGATTTCCTGTACTTTCTGTAAAAGTGGGCTAATAGAACCAGGAGGAGAAAAAGTGGGCCAAAATATAATGTTAATAAATAAAAAAAGGATAATGTAAGAGCAGTATAGCCTCAGCCTACATTCCTCAGTATTTTTAGTTCATCTGAAGCCAGAAAACAGACACGTTTATCTGCTGAATTCAGCAGGAAAACGTCTGCAGGTTTCACAGGGAGGTGACACCTGTCTGAGGATAAATATCACCTGTGTGTGTGTGTGTGTGTGTGTGTGTGTGTGTGTGTGTGTGTGTGTGTGTGTGTGTGTGTGTGTGTGTGTGTGCGTGTGTGGTGTGTGTGTGTGTGTGTGTGTGTGTGTGTGTGTGTGTGTGTGTGTGTGTGTGTGTGTGTGTGTGTGTGTGTGTGTGTGTGTGTGTGTGTGTGTAGCCAAACAACTTCTACACAGCAAAATAAATGATTATAACTTATTTTGTGTCTGTCTGTAGGTCAGGACTTGACAGAGAGGGAGGACATATTTTATTATGCTCATTTTCAGGTTCATATGTGTATTTTGTTTCCAAGTTCTAGTGAAAACTCTTCTTCAGTTCATTCAGTATTTGTCAAAAACACAACAAATTACTTTTCTTTCTTTGTTTTTATTCCAATTAGATTTGATCAACTTTGTTTTAAACTATACAAGCCGTGTGCAAAGAGGTGGACAAAATAAACCGTAGATAACAAAACAGACAGCTGAGATTTTAATTTCTCTCGTTTGTTAAACGACTGCAGACTAATGTTTAATGATCAGATTTAGTTAATGTTTCAATTAACTGACGGTAAATATTATACCAATATAATGTAATTAAAGCATGAAACCTGAATCTATCCCTTCAAAACATACCAGACAAAACCATCATTTTTCCACCAGTTTAAAATGATAATAACTAGGGGTGTAACGGTATGCGTATTCGTACCGAAATTATTCGGGACGGGCCCTTCGGTTCAGTACAGGTGTGTACCGAAGTGTACCGAACGAATATAACGTTAAACGTAAAACATTGAGAACGTGAACAACTCTTTGGAAGTAATCTCAGGTGCTGCGTAGCATTCAGAGTAATATGCTCACATTGGGTTCAACGCGTCATAGAGCGACCAAGTCATTTCATTGGACGAGAGGCTTACTATGAGAGCTGGTCACAGGGATGCGTTCATATGTAGTCAGTAATTTGAGGAACTGTCGAAATGGCGAACGCAGATAAAGTTGAGCTTGAAAATCCTCCAGCATCATTGAAGTCTCCGGTTGACGGGCAAAGACAGGTGGACCGAACCAAAGCTGTTTGTCGGCATTGTTCAACTAAAATTGGTTACGAGTCTGGATCCGTATAGATACGGACCCAGACCCCGACCTATACGGACCCGGACCTATAATCAATACATTAATAGGGGATTTCAATGTTGACGGGGTGATACTATTTTAACCGCCGCCGACAGGGGGCGAAAGAAACGAGTGAGCGATACAGGGAGAGAAACACAGAAGAAGAGATGAGAGCACGGCAGAGAGAAGCGGAGAGGAAAGTGAGTGAAGAGAATAATTAGCGATACAGGGAGAGAAGCGGAGAGGAGAGTGAACAGGCGTGTTGGCGGCAGACAGGGAGAGACACATAATGACACATGGCGCTCTCCAAGAAGAGGAACGTGGACAGTGAGAAGAACAGAGCTTTTAACCCTGAGTGGACTCCTTCATGTCCATCCTGCCCACTGGGAGCACAGAGCCAGTGTGTCTCATTTGTTCAGAGACCGTGGCGCTCATTAAAAGTGACAACACGCCACTATGAGACACAACACAAAGTGTTTGACCAAACATTCCCTCTCAAGTCAGAACTGAGGTCACAAAACATAAGCAGTCTCAGAGCCCGATATGATCAGTCGACCAGGATCAAAATTAAAACTAAATATCGTTCCAGGCTAACCGAGGCTAACCAATGAGCTAACCGAGGCTAACCAATGAGCTAACCGAGGCTAACCAATGAGCACCTGCATTTGTGTATGAGAATGGCCCTGACACCATTTCAGCCCAGATTTGAACTCCTGGCAGGACAAGCTCCAGCTCAATTCTCGCACTGAATTAAAACAAAGTGAGAGAGGGACTGCAATATAAGAGGGAAAGAAAGAGAAACTTTAAACTGTTCAATTGTTATGATGTGTAAAGACTGATATTGTTCTATAATCGTCTGAAACTGTTAAGTCATGATGTGAAACGGTTAACAAAGACAAAGGGAAACTCAAGCTGCTGCTACACTTTATTTTATTTATTTAAAATTAAGCACTTTTAAGATGCACATATTTTCAAAAGCTATTTTATTTATTTTCTCTATTTTATTTTGAAATGCAGCCCGGGAGGAACATTACACATATCCACAGTATTTACTGTATATCTGTATAGTTCAATGATAATTGACAATAAATATTGTTGTTTTTTAATTGTACTTTCTTTATTTGATTGGCTGTCAGTTGTTGATTACATGCAGACGTTGATAAAGCTACAGGCTACTTCAATATATGTCACACTAATTCATGAAGCAAGTTAGACATTTTGATGTTCCGGACCTTTGCATGTGGAGATTTTCTCTAACTGGACCTCGTTGAATTTTAGTTGAATACCCCTGCTCTAGGCCCTCTGTGAGGGCCTAAGATATTCCAAATAATAATATTTGAAAACATTAAAAAAAAACGTTTTTCTTTTGGGTAGGCCCGTCGAAAAGAGGGAGTGGAGGAGGGATCATTCACTGACTTAAAAAATATTAAAAGGGCCCTATTCTGCTCATTGTCAGGTTCATATTAGTATTTAGTGCCTCTGGCAAAAGCTGTATTTATCTTATGATGATAAATGAATCAACAACAATTGTATATTCCAATTTTCTTTTGGGTATGCAAACATGTGTAAAGTAGCTGAAGCTGTCGTAGTAGCAACACATCATTGGGGAGTTAGAGAATAAAGTGGCATAACAAGAAAATACTCCAGTAAAGTACATCAAGATTTTATTTGAGTGAATCTACTTTCCACCAATAGTGCTTCCTGCTGTGGCTGACTGTCATTTTAAAATATGTCTTTAGGTTTCGGCTCAAAGTTCATAAAGGTTGATGATTTTCCACCTCCTCCTCGTCACAGAAACAACAACCCTCCTCATATAATACATCTTTATATCATTAACTCATATATAATTTCACTTTGCTCAGTAATACTTTATAATATCACAATGTGTTTGTTTCTTTACATACATATGGTGGTGTGTCTAAAAACATCTCGTTATTCATCTTTGGTCTGTAAAACCAGAGTTTTTTGCAGAACAAGAAGAAAAATCCATCCTGCAGTTATAATAATAATCCGTTTTCAGTCGATTGTTTTTCCACAGGTGGGCAAAACAGGAAGTGGTAACGTCCCTGTTTTCTGGATCATTGGCTCTTCATCAGCGTTGCCGGATGCTTGGTGATGATGGACGATGGGAAACAGTCTTTATTTGGGAGGGTCCGTCCTCGCGGTGTCAGGAGACCTACGAGCCAGAAAGAAAACCCATTACATTTCACTGTAATTTAAGAAAATTCCATCAAACTCTAATGGAAACACTGCTTCCTGTCTGTGGCTCTCAGCTGCAAGCCCATTGGTTCCTACTGGGGTTGGTTTCGACATAAATCTTTAAAAACCCAAGCTTATAGTTTATTTCTTAAAAAGACTCAGTAGTTTCCTGAAAGCAGAAGCACAGCACCTTTCAGTACATCTTCACCTGAATTATTCATCCCCCCCCCCCCCCCGCTGTTCGACGGCAGCTTGAATCCTAAAAGAGCAGGAGGAGTCAGACAAGGACGATCCGGATTACAGCGGGAATTCATACATCACTCTGCAGACAGCATCAACATGCAGCGCGGGCCTAAACGCTCACAGCTGATTAAACATGGAGGTGAAGCCGCGCGATGCGTTCCTGCAGTCAGAGCACACGTTAAACATCTTGGAAGGGAAAGGCAGAACTCTGAAAACAACAACTGAGACGTGGTTACAGACCTCTAGACAATAGTTCAGCAGGAAGAAACAGGATGGATGATTTAGCCTCAGTCAGGTTGTATGCAGTGTTTTTTTAAAGTCTCAAAATCATCATAAATAATCAGCTTATTCTGGACAACTTATTTTGTTCCCATGTGGTTTTGACTCAGTGGGATTATGTTTGTATTACTATATCATTACTTTACTAATGTATGACTTACTTACAATTAGAACAGGATTAGACATGTTTACATGCTTTAATGTTCAAAAAGGTCGTTGGTCAAAAAGGTAATTGGTTAGCTGGCCGGCTCTGTTGTGATTGGGCAACCGCTTAGAGATGTCCCGCCCCTAAGCCTACCACATACAGTGCAATGTGTTGGAGTGCTAGCCAATAGAAGCGTGAGTGTTACATAATGATGTCACTATGTTCTGGAAGTAAACAAAAGAGTCCAATGGAGGCGTTTCAGACAGTGAGGGGGAACACAGGGATTGTAGCCTTTGAAGACCATTTACATGCAGAGAAACTTATAGGAAAGAGAAAACCCATAAAAAGCGGAATAGGGCCTCTTTAAATACTACTTATTGTTTCTAGACCAGCATATGTTTAAAACCCTGAAGTCACTATAAAACTGATTTAATATTTAAGTTCTAAAAGTAATTTTGCAGTATATTTTCTGTAAAAGCTTAATATTTTATACGATGCGTCTGGATGAATATGACATTGCATTAATGAGTATTTTGATTTAAACTGCATTACAAGCCAAATGACTAATTGGAACCCCTTTATAATGCTAGTTTCTATTCTGCAGCAAAAAATCTAATTGTAAAGGTTTTGTCCTGAGACAACCACATATCTCTCTAAAGTCAACTTTCCATTAGTTTCTCTTAAAAACAACCCTTTTTTCAGCTTGAGGACGATGCATTTTCCAACATCACATACAGTGACTGTCAGATTAATGTAGAAGTATAAAGTTGCATACAATAAAAATACTTAAAGTTAAGGTAAAGTTGTACTTCAATTCAGTACCTGGGAGTATGACCGACGGAGGACGTCCTAGGTTTGAAGTAGAAAACAAAATGAAAAATGCCACCTTTTTGTTTACAGGTTTCAGTCAAGCAGCTGCAAAAGAAGCAGCTGCAATCTTTCACAAAAACATGTACAGGATGTTCACTCTTTGGATTTGCATCTCGTCATGTTCACATTCAAAGTAAAAAGTTGTCCTTCCCTCCAAGGAGAATTGGATTTCTGTCTGATTGAGCAGACTGTGATTTGTTCCTCTATGTTTTTCCCTCCCGGTGTGACTGAACATATATTTAAAGTACCTCTGCAGGCTTCAACATACACTCCAACATACACAAAAATGCAGACAGGTAAAGTCACACACTTTGTTCAAGGACAGTTATGTTTGAACAGAAAGAAACTCCAGGCGAACAGATGGCAGCGAGACAAAAATGAGTTCTGCTCTCTGCTGCGATGCCTGATTACATCTCAGCAAATTACACCTCGCTCTGCAGACTGTAATGATCATGTACGAGGGTTAGAAATGATATGTTCATCGCTCCCGGTTGAAGAGAGATGAAGAGAAGTCTGCAGGTTTAACCTAAACCGGGAACAGCGGTGGAGGCGGGACCACGTTCCTATGAAAGTTGCTCTGTGGCGAATGAAGCCCAAAACCTGTATCTGGGCCTTTTGCTTAAGTCCTGCCTACGATTTCCAGCTCTCGGCTAGGTCAAATGAATGGAGAGGGAAAAACACTCTGGATTTGGCTTTTGGCGCATTTTACAACTTTTAAACCCTAAGGATTTCACTAAGGGTAATAAAAGTGTTCGTCGGGGCAAGTTCATTTCGTTTTTAGTTTGTTTATAGCCCAACATTAGCCGCCTTTAGCTTAGCCGCTATTAGCTTAGTGGTGGTGACATGAAGTCATGTGACCGTGCTGTAGTTCCTTTATAGCCCAACATTAGCCTCCTTTAGCTTAGCGGTGGTGACGTGAAGTCATCTGAACGTGCTGTAGTTCCTTTCATAGCCCAACATTAGCCGCCTTTAGCTTAGCGGTGGTGACATGAAGTCATGTGACCGTGCTGTAGTTCCTTTATAGCCCAACATTAGCGAGCTTAGCGGTGGTGACGTGAAGTCATGTGACCGTGCTGTAGTTCCTTTATAGCCCAACATTAGCCTCCTTTAGCTTAGCGGTGGTGACGTGAAGTCATCTGAACGTGCTGTAGTTCCTTTATAGCCCAACATTAGCTTTTTACTTCATAAATCATAAAGTGGTGTTAATATGTGGAGATTAACCTGTTGAACAAAACCTGTAAGTATCATAAAGGTGTGTTTGCCACAGAACTCATTTTCTCAAATATTCAAAAATCCATTGGGAAAACACACAACCAGTCGCTGACGTTAATAAAATAAAGTTTCCGTCAGCAGCTCGTTTAAAGGAGATAAATATTAAGAAGAAACACAATTAGAGAGGACAGAAACAAGCTTAATCTTGTTGGTTACACATTAGTTTAAATCACATTACTGCACAAAGTTATCAGAGAGATGTGTGTGTTTGTGTGTGTGTGTTTTCTGTTGTTTCCATGATGAACACAGCAGCTGGGAGTAAACTGAGAAGCAGGCGGCCTTGTTTCCGACATAATTGCTTTGTGATGAATTGTGGCTGGTGCTGAGAAACAATATAGGGCTGCCTTACTATTTATTTCACTTCCAAAGCAAAAACAAACCAGAAATCAACTCATTAATATTCCAAAGCTCTGGCTTCCTAAAATAGTACATCGATCAACAAACCAATTACAAAATATATACATATTCTTGGAGCAGACACATGTTTTGAATCCTCCGCTGTAGCTCTGGTGCACATGACAACAAAGACTCTGAAGTAAATGTTCTCACACAAAGAGCAATGTTTCTAAATGCTGTCGCCCTTTAAGAAGGATGGTGTGTTTCGTTAGACCATAAAGTACTGTTGTAGCCAAGACCACCTTAACCAAGACCAAGACACGACCGAGACTTTAACGGCCCGTCCACACAGCGGCGTTGGACGCTTCTGCCCATTCACTTTGAATGGGGTGACGTCACTTTTCGCCGAACTGCATTGTGGGAAGCAGAGCGGAGCTTTCCTGGCGTTTCAGGCTGCAAAAGTTGAGCAATGTTCAACTTTTGAAGCTTCGGTGGAAGCGTCAGCCAATCAAATCATATGCCGGTACAAGCTCTAGCCAATCAAACCGCTGCTTGTGTGTCAGGGGCAGGAGATTCATGTGATTGGTTGTTGGTCGAGCTTCAGACACGCCCGCCGGCAAGCTTTTTCCAAAGCCGCTGTGTGGACGGGCCGTAAGAGGTCGAGACCAAGACCAAGGCTTGTGGTGGTCTGTGTAGCCAAATTGAATTATCGTTGAATTTCCTGACATCTTCTGGATGGAAACTTCTGAAGCAATTGGAAACAGGACTCAGAGAGACACGAGGAGCTTTGGCCGGAAAATTCACAAGAGATGTCATGAGCCACGTGTTGACACAGGTTGAGATGCCACTACAATTCTCAATAACTCTTCTGTAGTTTAAGGTTTTAACTATTTCGGAGTGTAATAATCAACATTCTTCATCAGCGAGACTGAACAAATATGGACCCTGAATCTAACTAAGGCTGTCGTCCATAGAAAAGAATGTGCGGCCTCTAGATGTCCCTGAACAGTAAACTACCTCATGGCGGCTTGTGCTCGGTCATAAGCTGGCTACAACAATGCGCCCAAGCTGCTCCTCCTTGAGAGAGATAGCAGCGATACCCAAGGCTGTAGACCTATGCCGTGGGAAAGGAGACAGTGAGAGGAGAACATGATGAACTGTGTCGAAGGTTGAATACCTAAGGAAATGAGTCCTTAACAGAGGGGAGAGGTGAGGGAGGAGACCAGTCCCATTTTTACTTTTTGTGTCTTGAGTGAGTGCTTTAAAGTAAGTCAGTGAAGTCACGTGATTGGTTGCATTTCAAACAGGGCGGCTTACGGAGCGTAATTTGTTCCTCTGATCTCTCTTTCTGAGCTCTAATGAACGCTCGCTCCGATCCTCGTGTAAACACAGCCCATGGTTTTGCGTCGGTCCGCCCACTCAGCGCCGCTTCTCTGAGATTCAATTTGCTTTCCAGCGAGGCAATCAGATGTGCTGTCCTTCATTAGCAAGAGGAGCATGTTTGTGTGCAGCAGAAGAAGAAGAAGAAGAAGAAGAAGAAGAAGAAGAAGAAGAAGAAGAAGAAGAAGAAGAAGAAGAAGAAGAAGAAGAAGAAGAAGAAGAAGAAGAAGAAGAAGAAGAAGAAGAAGAAGAAGAAGAAGAAGAAGAAGAAGAAGAAGAAGAAGAAGAAGAAGCTGGAGGCGTCAGACGCAACAACACGCCGCCATCTTTGAGACAAACGAGGTGAGACGTCGGAGAGAAGCTGAAGTACGGAGGATCAAATATCTCCCAGAATTCTTTGCTTCTCTTTAGACTTGGGATGATGGCAGAGAGTCAAGAGAAAATCATAACGCTGTTTTTTAGTTAATCATTTGAGCTGCATTCTAATTTAAAATACAGATACCTTCTTCATGTATCCTTCTTCATTTATTTACACTGATTTCTTCCCTATTTATATTTTTTGGCAATGTTTATTTTTCTAATAAATGTATTCTATTTGCACAATCATTTCCTTCAGGATAAATAAAGTTGTATTTTATATTTTAAAAAGGATTATAGGAAAGAGACATTTTAGCATTATCTTCACATTATCTTGAATGTGTTTTTTCTCCAAAATAGACCTTAATCTTTCGCGTTCACTTTAAATGTACATATGGAAGTCAATGTTGTTGTCACAGTCTGCTTTCTCACTCACCTATTTTCTGCATTAACATTCCTTAGTCACCTGGTAGTCACACCCTGTCTCTCTCTCACTCTGTTACACCCATCAGCTCCGTATTTAGGCCCACTTCACTTTCACCTCAGTGCCAGATCGTACTTTGCAGCATGCCAGTCTTTCCCGCATTACCCTCCAGATTGCTCTCCCGGTTTCGACCCTGCCTGTCCCGGACTATTCTGCCTCGCCTGCTCCCTGACCCATTCTGTACCTGCGACTCCCGTCCTGCTTTCTCCTGGAACCCTCGCCTGTCCCCGACCAGCCCTTTGCCGACTATCTGCCGTTCTGTCTCCTACCAGCCTACTGCCTTCAATAAAGATGGTTACCGACTATCCCTGGTTTCCCGTGTTCTGCATTTTGGTCCTCAGCTCGTTTGTGACAGTTGTAAAATGATAAAAACTTAACCTGAATATTTGTTAAGGCTGCAATAAAGAGCAATGATATAGATGCCATTTATTAAATGAATACATTTAAATGGAGCAGCAGCGATTCAATCCAATTTCATCCAATGTATTTCTGATTTTAAGTCTGATTGAATCAAATGATTGAGACCTTGCATTTGGTCTTTTGTGCAGACATTCAAACACTGATGAACTATCACAGTGCACTTTACAGGTGAGTAAACGTATAATTAGACAGAGTCAGAGCCACATGGAGCGTTTTCAAAAGACTCTAATGAAAGCAGATAATCAGAGAATAGAGAGCTGTGTTTAAAAAACTAACAAGATGCGATGATGATATTCGCTTCATGAAGAGGCTTTTCAAACTCCTCCAGTTAATCAGCTGCTGTGAGGAGTGCTCATGGGCAGCAATTATTCAATCAACACCCACACACACACACACACACACACACACACACACACACACACACACACACACACACACACACACACACACACACACACACACACACACACACACACACACACACACACACACACACACACACACACACACACACACACACACAAAGAGGCTGTGATTTTGATAAGGGCCAGCAGCGTCCTCATTAGCTGGAATTATGTTATTAGAAGCTGATGTTGAAATTAGATGAAATTAAAAACACAGAGAGGAGACAGGGACCTCAGACACACAAAATAAACATTACAGATTTATTCTCATGTTCCTTTTTTGATATTTCTAACAGTGTGTGAACTATAAAACAAAGCTTGTGTCGTAGCTGACATTAAATGTATAGTAAACATGAATTTAATGAATCTCTATCTTTACTGTTTCAGTGTTTCAGTCCCATGTGATCAGGTTCAGTTCTCACCGTGGTGGTTTTGACCCGGCCTCCTGGTTGCGTGCAGGTCCAGCCCGACTGATTGACCAGGAGACCACAACCTTCATCGTCCAAACACGGAGCCATCTCACACCACTGCCGAGTCCCCACGATACCAACTGAGGAAGAGGAGGAGGAGACACAGGTGCGTTTCAGTGGTTCTATCTTACATTACATTACATTGCATTTAACTGAGGCTTTTATCCAAAGCGACTTAAGTGGATTCGACCAAGAAGATACATACTTGAAGAAAACAGAATCATACATCAGGTTTCATAGAGCCAAACCATTTTAAGTTACTCTCTATTGTGTGACCCAGTTCCTTCCTGCCATTGCACATTCCCTTTGTGTGAAACACAGACATAGTTGAGGTAAGACAAGATAGTACTTTATTGATTCCAATTTGGAAAATGTTTTTGTTGCAGCAGCATAAAAATACATCACATTGTACAATAAAAGACACAAGAAATTAGAAAATATACGTATTTAATTTAATAATAATAATGCATTACATTTTTTATTAGAGCGCTTTTACAGGTGCTCGAAGCGCTTTACAATTACACATTACACATATTAGACATGTAAGAGTCTTTCTCTCTCGAGGTCGTCCTCAGACCCTCCATCGTTGCTTCCAGTCATCCCGGTTCTCCATACATCTGGCCAGTTCATTGGTACTTTGTGCTCCTGCGTCATTCTTGAGTACGTCCACGTATGTTTGTGTGGGACGTCCTCGTGACCGATGCCCGTGTGTTGGTTCCCACAGCACCAATTTGCCGGCTGGCAGCTCTTGATGCCTTTGGCAATGTCCAGCTAGTCTCATTCTCCTGGCTGCAATTTTCTCGCTCACCCTTGGTATTCCCTCGTACAGGATCTTGTTGGTTACATGCACACTCTTGCTGATGTTAAGTACTGCTCGCAACATTCTGGTGTAGCATCCGTCTAGAGACTTTTGCAGGGTTGGCTTCAGGGTCCAGCATTCACTGCCATAGAGGAGAACTGACTCTACCGTTGCATAGAAGAAGCTGAGTTTGATTTGACGGGGGAGGTTGGAGTCCCATACACTGGTCATGCCGTTCAGGGCCCTCCATGCCAGAAGTGTCTTCCTCACCTTAAGATCTTGCTCGGTTGAGTTGACCCATGAGCCCAGGTACTTGAAGTCCTTGACTTCTTTAAGCACAGTGCCTTCTGTTGTTGTCAGAGGTGGATGTTCCGGTAAGATGTTATAGGTAATACTGTGGACATTACCCACAGGAGCAAAGTGTCTTTACTAATTTACGAATGAACGGATGGTTAAAAGGATGATTTCCAAATGGACAAGGAGTGGAGGGTTTTATGGTTTAATGGTGGGAATGTTTGGATAATGTTAAAGAGAATTGATAGGATTACTTCTTTATTCCTACTATATGGTGTTAACTGTGTGCAGAACTTCTTTATCCTCTATCCTAGTTGCTCTGTTCCCACACTTGTATTTTGACTTTCTTTATTACTTTATTCCCTAAAACAAAAGACAAACTTGTTTATGAATCATTTTCAACTGTGGGAATTAAACATTTCCACCCGTTTTCACGCATTGATTTTCTAAACAAGTAGGTATTATTTTAAGATAAATTCTGAGCTCATCCATTAGCGACTATATGTTTCCTCTCTCCATTGATCTATTATGATGTCTTTATAATAGATAATGTTTCCATATGTTTCTGGTTAACCAGACACACTACTCTAAAGAACAATTTAGAATGTATATAACTTCATTCTGACCTTTTATTGTAAACATACAACTTGTTAGGACAATATCTATAGCACTTTTTTCAACATAACGTTTCAAATGTATTTCCTTTTTCTCAGAGATTCATTTTTATTAAACTTATCTTATTATTTATTCTCATCATTTTAAAGGTTTCTCTGGAACATCCGACTTTATTGTCTCTATTTTGAACCTGTTTTCTTAAGAGTACGACTTTCATTCTTCAAATCTCCAAAGGAAATGGAGACACAATAAAAGAACCAAACTAATCCCAGTCCAACATCAGAGGACATATTCTGTTTACTGTTCCTCCTCTTCAGCACACTCCGCTATTTATAAAGAAATAGGACATTCTCACAACCACATTTGCATATTGCTGCTCTTTGATTGGCCCACTGAGAAAAATAGGGGGTGATGAAGAGTAGGAGGATGAAGAGGAAAAGCAGTTTTATTAACATCTGAGAAAACATCGGGTCAAAGATATCCTCACTTCAGTTCCTTTTATGAGTCAAGATGTAAAAACACTGGAGCCTACAATTCCCATAATGCAACCTGATAACCCCTTCATCGGTTATTCATACATTGTTACTCTAATGTATAACACACACTAATATAGGGACTTTACTCTTAATGTATTCAGCAGAATATGGAACGAACATCTGTCAGCAATTAACAGTGTGTGCATCTCGTTAAAGATGGCCGCCGGTCCCAGAGGAGGAAACAGGACGTGATGTCCTAATTATGCAGAGAGCTTCTCCCATAGCAACACCAAGCAGAAAAGCATTTCCTGAAACAAAAGCATGTAATTAAGGATATGTGAAGTCTTCTCATATGATTACCATGAACACATCAAAGCTCTCAAACACATGTATATATTGATCATATTTATCCTTTCATGTATTATGTAACTCACAATAGTGTATGATAATGAGATGGCTTGCGTGGCCCTTGTGCCAACAGTGTATGTAATGATTGTGATAAAAACACAATGAGAGTTGAAATGATTGGTTATTTAAACTTATCTAACGATAATGTTAATGACTTTCTGAAACGTGTAAAGTAATTAACTTTATGCTAAGGGTCAGATTTTCCTTTTTTTGTGTCATTAAATATGAGAATGTATGTATATTTTAGCATAGAGTAAAATAACAGAGTGTAGCACAGCATGATGCAATGCTGTGCTACACTCTCTGAGGGCCTAAGATATTCTACAAAATAATATTTAAAAACATTAAAAATATATATATATTTTACAAACACAAAGCAATATCCTTTTCAATTTCAAAGAACACAAATTGGGTTGTTTGCAGGTGTTGTTTTGTGTGGTAGAGGGTCGCTTTCATTGATGCGTTTTGCACCCCGGGCCGCTGAAGTATACACTGTGACGTAATAATTCTTTTTTTTTGGGGGGTGGGGGTCAGAGGGCCTAGGAATAAAAGTCACGGCTCGCGTGTAACGTCACACACACTGATCTGGTGTAACGCCACACACACTGATCTTGTGTCTGACCTCTCTCTTTCATTTGAGAATTAATTCTTCAGTCTTCACTTTACTAACCCAATCATCGCTCTCGTTCCAGCCTCGCTCTCCTTCCCGGCGCTAAATTACTGTGCGCCGGGGGAAGATGAAGAAAGAAAGAGTGTGTGTGTGTGTGTGTGTGTGTGTGTGTGTGTGTGTGTGTGTGTGTGTGTGTGTGTGTGTGTGTGTGGCGGCCTGTAATACATAACCAGGTAATCAGATCCCCCTGTGGAGCAGTGTGTGATTGTGATAGCCCGTTAGCCCCCAATTATCAAACCAATTTCCCATTGAACAGCGGCGACTCCTCTCAGCCATGATACTTAATTAAATCCTCACATTGCTCACACCTCCATCCTGATGGAGAGAGACAGACGCTCCGGGAGGAAATACTTCAACTGCTCCTTTTATACAAAGGTTATTTCTGTAAATTAGGTTAAGGATTGGAAATACAAATAACATAAAGGTCATGTTATTGGAATATTGAAACACTTTGGTAAAACTTCTTGTTCTGTCTTTTCAGGAATCAGTTTGCATTTTCAGTTTCATTAGTAAGTATTAAGTAGAACACATTTTAGTTTAGTGTTAACACTGTTAGTTAGATATACTATGAACTGACAAAACCCTGTTCAAGCCTCTTCAATGTAACACGGCAATACACTTGTAAAAAATAGTATTTATTAGCATTTATTCAATAAAGATGGAGGGTCACTTGTTCGTTCTGCACTGGAAAACAAATCTAAATGTCAACAGTGTTCATGCTACACTATGGAGACATTGAATTAATGGCCGTTTGAAGCATTCATTCTTTTTTTGGAAACAAAACTGCTAATTGATTGAATGATATATGAAATGATACATTGAGTGTGTGAATTATGCAGATGTTTCTTCTAACCCTAACTGTAATTCATTGAGAGGAAACACATCAGAATATTAGCTGATACTCACTTTTTAATAGAAGCACACACTGAAAACACTGAAATGTTGACTTTAATTAAATGTATTAACACATTTGACCTAACTGTATTAGGTTAGTTGAAAGCAATAATATTAAGTTGAACCTACTTTTTTTTAACCTAATACACTTATGTGAAATCTGAAGACATAATACATTTAATTAAAGTCAACGGTGCAGTTTTATCAATGTATTTGTGATTTATAAGTACTTATTTGTGTTTGTAAGGATCCCTAAAAAAGACTAAACCAGGTGAAGATAGAAACCAGTCAGAAAGTTCCCCGTTAAGGATCTGTTTGTATCAGAGGATTTATCTCCGGTATCAGTGAACACCTGCAGCCTCAGCGCTCTGATTAATGAACGGCCGTGCCGCAGATCCATCCGCCGCCACCGCTCAGCGCAGTTCATTTATCCCCAAAAGAGAGGCGGCCATCTTGTAAGCACTTCATTCATCAAACACGGCGTCCAGAAGGAGGGAAGCTGCCTCGCTCCCCGAGGACGAGAGGAGGGAACGTAAAGGACAAACAGATGGAGCAATAAAAACCGTATTACAGTCTCAACGCGGGAACCATTATTCCTCCTTTGAAGAACGGTCAGAACATCTTTAATTTTGTTCTCCTTTGTTCGTTTTTTAAGTTTTCATTTTCTTAGCTTTCCACTTTTTAATCAACTTTCTTTGCTTTTATGTTTGATGGTGCTCTTTGTTCCCGTCTTGCAGAGATTGGTCTACATTATTTTCTGCAATTCATTAATCAAAGAAAGAAAGGAAGTTCTCTCATCATTATGAAATTCAGAATTATAATGATCATCCAGCTGTTGTTGTTGTTGTTGTTGTTGTTGTTGTTGTGCATGTAGAGGGTCTGCAAAAGCTAACATCCCTTTTTCTCTCCAAAACGCCTCCATTG